TATTTATGAATGTCTTTTTATTTACCTATCATAACAGTAAACCGCTTTGAGGGTCAACATACTAGTTTTGTAATTACGAGCTTTACCATAACGTTTTATCCTAAAGGACGTCCCTAACCGAAGCTAGGTACCAATAACAGGCAAGCACGCATTTAACGTAATAAAGAAAGATTTATTCTTATACATTTCACAATGACACGAAAACTGTGTCTCAAATCAATTGTTGACAATAAATATACAAAAATACATCGCGTACACATGACAACGGCAGCGACAGTTTAAAACTTACGGATATGAGATGTCAAATATAGAATATAGCTCTTATAGGATATCCAGCTTGCTCAAAGTTAAATATGGAATGTGTTAAATATAGTATAGCAGGAGCTTAAACTGTGCTTAGTAGCAAAGAGACTGGCCATCATATTCGTCGTAAGTTGTCTCCCGATTTTGGTTAGCCTCTACCAGGCACCGCAGATCGCAGGAAAAATAGTAGAAACTGGCCAAAATAAAGAGAATACTATACCAGGGAAGTTCGCCGACCAGAGAGGGTACATTTTGCGACCCACGCATTCATTTTGGTCAATTTCTACTATTTTTCAGCGATCCGCGGTGCCTGGTAGAGGCTAGATTTCGATGTCGTCGGCTTTCAAGAAGATGTGACAGAACAAACCGCTGGTAGGGTTCTAAGACAGCCTTTCTCAGTAACAAGACGCAAACACAACCATCCCAAGACTATCGCACGACGGTCTTACGACGAATTTTATGACCAGGCCCTTAAAAAGATCGCGGGCACATTTACTGACTTAGCTATAGAAAGTGACTATTACAAACCATCGATTCAACGATATGTAACCTGAAATCTATGCTCAAATAGAAGTAGATAAATAAAAACCGAATTTATGCATAAACTTTGCTAGTTTTTATATGTTCTTTTGGAGTAAAAGAAATATTCAAAAAACAATAAAGTTCCAACAATAGGAGATGCCCTTAGAAAAGGAATCTTCTTGGTGCCAAATTAAGCCTATAAGTCCTTTAACTGGACATGTACAGAAATAAACCCCTCAGAATAAGTGATTGTCGGCCACTTTTAATTAAATGACCATTTCAAGTGACATAACTACTAGTTTGAAGAAGAAATAATTTACCTTTTATACAAAAAAAATAACAAACAATAAACCATCTTCGTCACCTCTGCTTCAACCTCTTCAATATACAAAAGAAAACTCACGGGATACATAAATTTATAATTTTCACCAAAAAAAAAAGGAAAATACGCCTTAACAAAGGGTATAGACATCTGTGTCGCTCACATGGGGGTATACTCCCAAACGTGGCATATTTAAACAGATGGCTGAATGGCTGTCATTATGTTTTTAAGCTAAGTATCGTGCGTTTGTGCACTTATGGGCCATTTGGTTGGTAATCCCATAGAAATGCCGTCGCCGGTAAATTGCTTATGGGCAACAGGATAGCGTCAAATGATTTGACAGCATGCCTAAGTATGATTGTGTTCTAAGCCCTAGCCTTCTTTTCAGCAGCCTGGTTACCAAACCTATTATAGCTCCCGAGTCCTACATCCTCTCCGAAAAAAATTGCGGAGAGGATGTAGGACTCGGGAGCTATAATAGAATCATAATAGGTTTGGTAACCAGGCTATCTTTTCAGGCGTTCCGGGATCGGTCGTTTTTTTAGGGGGTGGGGGGTATTTTCTGATCAAACGTAGATCGCACGCAATAGAAGCTCCAGGGAGAGCTATGTAGGGTTGCTGACTGGAGCTTCTATTGCATGCGATCTACACTTGATCAGAAAATACCCCCCCCCCCTCTAAAAAAAACGACCGATCCCGGAACGCCTGAAAACGACGCTACCTACGCTCATAGTCGACGAGCTGGTTTAGAAGTTTAACAAAATAAAAAGTTATGAGTGCATCAATCTACGTAACCCCTTGGGGGCTGGGATGATGTTTTGCAGTAAGAATATTAAGTAGTTGGACGTGCTTCCAAACGTTTAAATATACATTTCGTCCTGCGTCGTGAAAAATATAAATATGACAGCAAAAATCGTCTGCTAAAATCTGAGGTAATTTATCAGTCATCTAGCACCAATGTTCAGTGACCAACCCTTCCGCCAATTTTTCTCCTGGTAGATAAAAAAAATTAAAATCCTATCAAATGATGTTCAAAGGGTTTAATCTCCAAGCATGTGTTGAGATGGAAGTCAGTCCGTTGCCTCAACTATCAGGGAGGCTGTTGTACTCGTATCCAGAACCATCCCAACCTGTAGGGTTAGGATGAGGCACGGTTCTGGATAGTCTCAGCGTATCCAAGAACGTAGGTTTGCTCCAGGCACGGTTTTAGATATGCTTGGACTATCCAGAACCGTGCCTAAGCATGATACACAGAAGTCAAGGAGGTGGAAAATGTTGCGATCCTCTATCCTACATCTGCTTGTAAACTAAATTGAGTTGGGAGGACTATCCAGGACCGTGCCTGAGCATGGTTCTGGATAAAGCACGGTTCTGGATACAACAAAAGTCAAGAAGTCAGAAAAAGTTACACCCTTCTACCGCGATCTGCTCAGAGATTAAATGGTGTTGGAAGGAGAGACTTGCACTTGTTCAACAACTGACCAGAGCTAGAGGGGACATACGGAGAACTTTTGTGGTTACAGATGCGTTGGGAATTTAGATTCAATCTGAAAGTATGTAAAACCCTTTGCCCAGAGTACATCTAAAGCCACGGCTCTCCTTAAACCGGAAATAGGCGGAGTTCTGCAGTCTGGGAACGAGACTATCTGCTCGTTCCCTTACATTCGTTACCTTGTAAGGACGGTCAGGCCTACAGGCGAGGCAGTGGTCTGCATGTTTGGTTCTTTATCAGGTTTGTAGAGTAACATTTTCCACATATTCACTCTATAGACACAGTAAAAATGGTTTCCCACAAAGTGGTGCGGACCACTTCAACACTAATCTGCAAGCAGATCTTAGGGTGGCAAAAGACAGTGTCGAATTGGCCAGACCGTATCCATTGGCCAGAGAAGGTCCAGTATGTCATATTGGACCCACTCTGGCCAATAGATACTGACTGGCTTGTTTGATACTGTATTTTGTTATTCTAGGATCTGCTCGGAAATTAGCGCACCACAGGTGTATGAAAAACCCTCCTTTCTGTGGGGAGGGGGGCGACGCCATCTCAGTGACGAAAGTAGTTCCGTCTTCACATCCTTTGTCTAACATACTCATCCTTCGCCACTTCTCGAGAATTCTGTCACTTTTCACTTTGCTTTCCCAGGGAGCTTTCGCAAGGATTCCTGAGTGTCAGCTGTCCGGCTCAGTATCGTCTGCGTTGCCATGACGACCCGTCAGTCCTTCCCGCGCAATTCTGCAACTCAGTGGACGACGTTTTTTTGTCTCTCAGTGCAGACGACAGCTGTCACTTGTACGCCTGCTGGCTCCATCAATGCGGATAGAGATTTTCCGATTGGCTAGCCGCACAGGCGACGTATTAGTTCCACCAATCTGTGTGTGGTATCTTTGTTGTATTCTTTCGACCCTTTTTGTACCAATCCGTGTCAATTTTCCCGCCAAAACCAGTCCTGCCATGAGAGAAACTTCTGTCAGAAAATATGGAGCATATCCATACACGGCGAGATATATTGCCCTTTCTTCCTCTTTGTTGTATGCTTTCTTCCGACGACCTTTTTTCAGTCGGTGTCAGCTTTCCCGTCAAAGCTAGTCTTTCACCAGTGGAAATTCTGTCAGAAAATATGGCAGACTTCCATATCATACGGCGAGAGATCTTTCTCTCACAATACGACGTGATCTTCATGAATTCAGTCAAGTTTTTATACACTTTATACAAAGGATGACTTTTTTTCACCACCGTTTCTTGTCGCAGAAGCCCTTTTTTCTCATGTCGCCTCCTCTGATGGCTCCGACGCATCTCAACCGCCTTCCTTTGCAGTCAAAGTCCTGGTAACAGAGTTTTCTCTGAAACAAACAGAAAATACAAATATATCGGTTAAACAATATTTGAAATCACTTTAAGAACAAGCTATCGTAACATTAGACTGAAGCACTTGTATATTCTATGTAGATTCAAGTAATGCAGGTAAGGTAAGCAGTCAACTGAGGTATTCAAAATGACTGAAGGTGACCCCAAATGGAACACGAGTTCGGCGACCGCGGGCGACCCCAAATGGAACACGCGTTCGGTTCGAATGACGTCAGATCGAACAGGGATCGGGTTCGAAAGAAGTAGCTAGTATACAGTATAGAATAGTATACTAGTATAATGATGCACTGTGGTTTCGCTATTGTTCGAGTCGTTAATATCTACGGAAACACAAGTAAACACACAGACACACTGAAAGCAAAACCTCCGTACTCGGAGGTGATACATTTTACATGTCACTCATTTTCATATCTCTCTCAAGTGTGATTGTCTTTCATTGTCTTCTTGTAGCTTTTATCCAGGTCACAGTCTAAATCTGATATGTATTAATTTTGCTATACTGAACAATAAGCTGAATTCAACACTGAACCCACAGCCTCAGTACCAAGGGAATGCTCTGTTGTGGGGTTTTCGCCACAGGGAGCCGTAATAGAACTCGCTTTTCTACTAGGAGTATTAATTCGTAATGACCGTCTGACTTTGTGATGTTTTCACCACTTGATTACAGCTTATCGAAATACACCAAGGACGCAGTTACAATGGGACACAAAGTAGTACCGTAGGGAGCACAGATTTTAAGTGCCAACCAAAAGCGTGTGTGTAAAGCCCTTGTCACAGATAGCCGGCAATGGCCTCCCGACCCTTTCCAGACCGTATGTGGTCGGTAGTTGGGAGTTAGTCGTGACTGAGGTCGTAGGTGGTTGGTAGTTGATCGTTGAGGTTGCGGCCTGGTTGCCTACTAGTCTTCTTTGTGCCTCCCAACTATAAATATCGAAAAGCCAGGAAACTGATATTTTGCTTCGATACGATCACACAGAGGAGGAAATTGAAGCTAGAATAGGATAGATTCCAGACTACTCCCGATCCAGCGCCAACTTGGTCGGGGAAAAGTCGGGAGCAAAGTCGTAAGAAGGCCTTGCTATAATCCCTAGTATATGTTATCAAGCATGTATGTTTACCACATTCTTGCAGATACACATAGAAGAAAAACAATGGCAATGTGGGACATATGGTTATGGATATGTTGGATCAAAAGCTAAACTTACTTGATTCTAACTTTTTATCTTTTCTGCTTGGTTCTTTCATTTTAATGTTCATTACTTAGGTCAACTTGTACACATGGTGTTGTGTTCTCTATATATTAACTATGATGTTGAAAGGTTTATGTCCCATGTGGTTAGAGAATTGCAGGTATCAGCGGCAGATGGCACATAACATCATGTCGTGAACAAACACAGACAGAGCAGACACTCGCCGTTTCTAGGCCAGACCCTCTGTAATCACAGAAAATTGAAACTTTCCGCTCTCAGAGGACTAGTTAATGTAATTAGCAGTGGTGAAATGTTCACAGATCACTTCCACTGTACACGCTACCATGTTGCTAATTGACAAATATGCCCCGCTTAATTGTGATTAAGTGCCAAATACGTCCATGTCGTTCCGACCCAAATTCGAAGGGTAAATGTTGATACTGTCTGTTGTTGGAAGGACGCCCCAGACAATTAAGCAGTCAACAATCAAGAACGTAATCTGTGTAGGTAGAGACCCGGATCTGGTAGACTCTATCATTAGATAGCTTTAAACAATGTCTAGAGTTAGATGTTCAATGGTTAGGTGTAACAAGTCGATCGGTGTAATGAAGCTAGCAGCCGCCGCGCCGCGTGCCTGCGAAGCTGGTGTGTTATGCCGAAAGGCTGTGGGCTATACCGATAGAGCTACATACAGACTCGGAGATTTCACCCTTAGAGATCCTGATTGGAGTGTGTAAATTTTAAGATATTCGCTTCAAAGACAGTCAGAACTTTTCAACTTTGATTCATGTCACTTTATATCAGTGGGTCGAATTGTACGTTGTAATTTAAGATTTGTAAGTGGGAAACTAGCCTCTACCAGGCCTCGGGTAGCGACATGCCAGGAGAGTTGGTCTGATAGAGAGTACAGTTTGGCACCCGGGTCCGGCAAAATGTACTCTCTAGCGGACCAGCTGTCCTGGCATGTTTTATATCTATTTGGCCAATTTCTATTCTTTCCAGCCGCCTCCCGAAGCCTAGTAGAGGCTAGTGGGAAACCACAGTCCTACATTAATTAACAACGTACATCCGAAAAACATATTCAAATCATTCATGAAAACTCTCAAGCTCTTTCCCGTCTCAAATCAAGCCGTAGCCGCCGTCCTTGCGGATTTTGCACGCAGGGAAGAACTTTCCGATTGTTCTTTAGATCAAAGTCCCGGACATGTGTAGGGGGAGGGGGGCGGTGGCAACAATTTCACGCAGTCGAGTCACCCGACAGATAGGAAGATGCTTTTCATCTTTGATCTTTCCTCAGAAATCTTAATCCGTACTGACTACTCTTTAACTGATTGATGGCTCTATTCATTACCGTGGCATTTATCCCATAACAACAGATAATTTTTCAGAATACACTATTCTTCATCAATACCAGATCCTAGCCTCCATAGCATGCCAAAAACTGGGGTTTGGGGTCTTCAGGGTCTTTGGGAGCTTTTATGTGCTATTTTATAATTTCTGATTCCATATAGACAACAAAGCCAGTTTGGTTGAATTACCCCCGTTTTTTTTTTAACTGGGCTAATCAGAAAACAGCCGAAGACCACCAAACCCCCAGTTCTATAAGCCTGCTACAGAGGCTATCTAGATCCTTTCATATACTTGACTATACTCTCCAGCAAAGGTTTAGGCTTCGACTTATTTTTGACGTGATTTTAAGTGTTTCATAGGCCTTGTACTGGTGTCTTCTTTACGCCTCGCTCGGGTGACAAATGGCTATCCTCTACCAGGCTTCGTGAGGCGGCTGGGAAGAGTAGAAATCGGTCAAATAGAGATATAACATGCCGGGGGAGTTTGTCTGCTGGAGAGAACAGTTTGCCGCTCCCGAAACTGTTCTCTCCAGAAGACCAACTCCCCGGCATGCTATCTCTCTATTTGGCCAATTTCTACTCTTCCCAGCCGCCTCACGAAGCCTGGTAGAGCCTGGTAACTGCCTGACCAATTTGATACTGTCTTTGCAGACACCAAAACAATCTGCTTGGAGATGACTAGTAATATTTGGCAGCGTACTCAGTGTGGCCAATATCAAGAAAACAAGTCCACCGCATCCCTACTATACTTGGCAATGCGCCGTCCCAAAGATTATATCATGACTTATTATCGTGCGGTTTGACAATTTTCCAGCCCCCACAGATACATAATCAACATACTTCCCGCTGGAAAACTCCTTTATCGTCGAGTTAAAAACTTTGAAGTGCCAGAGTCAATCTCTTTGAAAGCCTCGCTCAACGTGGCTGGGATTTCACGCGAGCCGTAGTAAGATCTTGGATATAGCAGAGGTCGTTTCAATGACATGTTTTTCTACATTTAGACCCTTAAACCTAAGAGAACCCAACTCAACAATCCAACGCGTGGCAAGGGAACATCCATATGATTATCAGATTACACTAAACAATATTATTTCTTTAATGCTATTCTATAACTATACTTAGAAGCAACACATAAAAATGTCCAAAAGAAACCAATTTTTTCCCCTCATGATCAGTCTTACCGATAAAATAATGAAGCAGAAATGGATGAGGAATTAAGGGTATAAAATTTTAACTGTAAAACGTTAAAACCTTGCCTTAATCGCTTCCTGCTAGAGACTATGTGTGACATTCGAAGCCTCCCAAGGACGCCTTCTGGGGCATGACTGAACGATATTTTTGGAAAGTGTGTCTTGGGCCGAGAATAAGGAGGAGGGCACGTGTCAGTGTTAAATAACACGTGCGATGACCGCTTGTGACCCATGTTTACAACGTTCAACAGGGGCAAAGAAATAGCATTTTCTTTTCGTCTTGAAAGTTCTGGCGTAAATATTGCATTGCTCTTTCATTTTCTTTTCTAAGTTTATATTCTGTATTTGCATCTGTATGATATAGCCGATATATTAGGTGTTTTGTGTGAGATGGGCAGGGGTTTGGGCCCCGCTTGGACACAGTTTGATGGATTGCACTTGACATTTCGGATGGGGACGTAAAAGCGGAGGTCCCATTAATCCAAACGTTTGTATATTGCAATTGTATCCGGAATCGTGCCTGTCTAGATGTATATGCCTGAATGTGTTAGGGTTAGGATCAGACACGGTTCTGGATAGTCTTAGAATATCCAAGAGCGTAGAGTTGCCCCAGACACGATTCTGGATAAGCGTGGACTTTCCAGAACCGTGCTTGACTGGTTCGGGATAAAGGTTCAGGTTCTAGATACAACAGCAGACAGAGTAACAACCTATTGTATCCAGTACCAATAGCGTGCCTATCTAGTAGTATGTCTGAATGTGTTAGGGTCAGGATCAGGCACATTTCTTAATAGTCTCAGCGTACCCAAGAAAATAAGCGTGGACTATCCAGAACTATTTGATACAATTCAACATAACTTGTCAAGACAAACTCAAAGGCAAACAGTACCACCTGCTGAAGTCACGTATCAAGATCTCGCGAGATTTTGATGGCGACACAAGGTGAGCCCATTCTGTCAGATGTGACCATGACGCGTGTCTAATAGAGAAAGGCTATCTTTCTGCACGGGCGAACATTTGTGCTGAGGGACATGTACTTACGACGGTCAAATAGCCTTAAACACTGGTAATGATGGGTGTAAAATATCACATGAAGACTAGGGTTTCAGTAAGGTAACTGAGGTTATCGGTGACACGGGGTTGCTACACGCGCACAAGTTGTATTCATTATACCTTCACCAAGAAGGTTAGGCTTTAGGTAGCCTTTGTAGCTTTGTTTGTGCTTTAACGTTCCTCATTCAAGAAGCCACTCTCATAGATTGGTATGCAATTCAGTTAGGGCTTGACCAATCGAAGAAACACAATGACCCCCCCCCCCAGTGGCTTTCCTTGGTAATGCAACAAGAAACGTTTTTAGTATCTTACTTGACGTGAAATGTTGGTCGTATGATTTTCAACTATAGTTTTCACATACGCGCGCGCCTAAGAATCTTTAGATATGTTTTCTGTGTCGAGCATACAGTCAAAATGATTCCTTTTCATAGAAGAGACACCGTCTACCTTGATTTATTGCATGGAATAGAACTGATAGTTCCTAATCGAACAGTTCGAAATAGAACAGGACAGTTTTGTTCAAACAGTTCGAAATAGAACATGTTCGATCGGTTCGAACTAGAACAGGTGTTCGATCAGTTCAAAGAACTGATGTTCGAACACTTCGAAATAGAACAGGTGTTCGATCAGTTCGGTGGGGAAGGGTCTATGACTCCACAATCTTCTGACGACAGGAGACTGGGAGAGGACTACAGAACAGATGCTGTGTTTATAGAGCAGCGCGAGTCCGATATTTGGAGACTGGCATTCTAGGTCATCCGTCAACTCTTTAGATAGACAAGCTAGATGCGGCGGATGTTTCCGTTGAAATGTAAGATGGAGGAACATAGATAAAGGAACATCCATCATAGATGTATCCAGAACCGTGCCTATCTTATTCTATGCCTGATTGGGTCGGGCAATCAGGCATAGTGCTTCCAAGAACGTAGTTTTTTTCCTTGACATGGTTTTAGACTACTAGTATACGTGTATCTAGAACCGTTCTGGATACATGTTAACTATTCAAAAAAAAAATTTATCTGTCATTTTATTTGTAGTGAAAGATTTCTGTGAAGAAGGGCCCATATTCCAGATAGATAGCAAAGGTGGAACCCCTTTATCAGCGTTTTCGTAGTTTTATGTGCTATTTGTGTAGGATAAAGCGAATTTTTGTGGGGGAGGGGGATGGGGGCGCCTGCCGGTCAGCAAAAGATGACACCGGCCCTTACCCGAGCGATAAGATAAGAATTTGGATAGACAGACATTCCTCTGGACTGAGAGTTCTCGGGAAGAGATAAATAACTTTCCCAGGCGGCAGTTCCACCAGCCGGTCAGACATTAGAACTCATTACCGTGCAGGGATGAAACAGATTAGGTTATCTCTGCGAAAATGTGGCGAAAATTAGCAGATGGCACGGTGTTGTCATCTCGTCTTCTAGCTGTGCTCATCTCACAGTGCCTTTCTCACAGTGCATGCTACCGCCTAGCCTTGGTGCTGGACTGTTTTCAGGGCCTACATAGACCGTTTCCTAAGCTCAAGGGCTAGCCTTGGTGCCAGACTATTTCTAGGACCTACACAGGCTAGCTCCTTGGCTGCAGGGCCTATACAGGCCAGCTCCTCGGCTCCAGGGCCAACATGCCCCCAGGCCCA